GATCGGGGAACTACAATCGCCGAATTTTTACTCTTTACCTTCTTCGCACCAGCCAAGGGCGAGAGCGGATGCAGGCAGTGGCAGTGGGTGCGGCAGTACGAAGTGCACGTCGGTAAACACACACTTGCTTGGTTCTGAAGGAAAGAATGAGACATGATGATATCATGAATGCCTGCTCGACGCGCCGCCAGCTTTACCCCCCACCACAAACAGGACAGAATTAACGGACCGAGAGACGGACGGACGGACGGACAGCAGATAGCGGGCATCTCACCTCAACGTACAGCAGTGTACACGTACACACACAACGGCCTCCACATCTGAACACACACAGAGAGACGTCAACACAGACCTGTATGATCTTGCCCACAACGTAGGTCTTGATGCCGTCGCGCTGGTCCTGCGGCAGAATTCTCCATCTCGTCTGGATTGCCCCGTCCAAGATCTGCGCCGCGCCAAACCACAAACAATACATATTTGGAGACACATGCAGAACGGGTTCGCAATCAAGAGTTGGAAAACTCCGTCAAGACAAGGAGCAGAGGCTCAAACTTTCACGAAAAATAACAACAAACTGGGTGAGGTGAGTAAACACAACTATGCCCAGGTCAGCGGTGGAATCTAAATCTACACACGAATACCCTACCATGCTTGTACCCTGTGCGAGACCGTGCCACCGAAACAATAAACTCAGCGTCGTCCCCAATTTGGCGTTCGTCGACTGCGGGCCTTCTCTGGACACAAACGTACAGCAGCAGTCAGTAGTAGAGATGCTGACAACGGTATGTCTCCTTCCACACAACATACTCTCAAGCCAGCCCGAGGCTGGAGTCGCCGGAAACGTATGGGTTCGTGGTTCGTTTGCCCCGCGCAAAGGCTGACGTCATGCTACGGTAGAAGCCACCAGAGCAGGCACGGCACGCACGCGTACGAGAAGCGAACTGCTGCTCAACACCACGAACACTTAAACGGTCGGAAAAAGCAACCAGCGACTACGTTACAAGAAAAGAAAAACACGACAAAAAAAAAGTTACGAGTGTCAAACAAACACTTCAACAGCAACCCTGGCAGCAGTGGTGATACGAAAACATGCTGCTGCTGCTGCTTGTTGTGCCTATTGCTGCAAGAGATATTAGAGTGCACAGAATTAGCAGTAAGCCGAGCAACCTCCAACAAGAGAGCGCTGGCGTGCACCCACGCCAATGGCCTTGAGGTGCCGGGAAAGTATTGTGCGCGACAACACCGCAAATTTCTGGATGGCGCGGCTGGCCACCATGGAGGTTGTTAGGCTTGAACCAAATATGCCCGTGGTGTAATACGCTACCTAAGAGACCGCACACCACAGCAACAACGCCGCCATTGCGTGCGTTGACGTCTGCGGGGTAAACGAAGCTTGTTCGTGGTACGTGGTGGCTCACAGCACCTGCCCCTACAAATATTCGGCAATCGACACGCGTGCGAAACATGCAATCGCACGCCGACCTACACCCAACAAACCTGTGTTTCCAGACATCTCTCCGCACCATCGCGGCGGTGAAGGCGAAACAACGTATGCTACTACTGAACGATTTCGCCGCCTGCCGTCTCTGATATTTTCGTCAGCCTCGCCACCCCACCTGAAGACCGATGAACCGAGTGTGCTGGCTCTGGGACTGCTCGAGTATGGTCCCCGCCTGCTGCCACATATCCGGACTCTCCTTCATCCTCATGAGGAGAATGTTGGCATCGTTGCGCTGTTTCCATTTCATTTCATTTCACGGAAGAATAAACAAGGACAATGCATCGCATCGGCACGGCACAACCGAAAATAGAGGGACAGGGCGGAGGAGCGAAAGGGGCGGGGGGGG